GACCTCGCTGACGCAACATTATTATTGTTTATAAAACAAACAAGTAACATCCGATAAATAGAATTGTAGAAAATGGAGAAACACAATTAATTCAGTATTCTAGAAGAAATAAAAAGGAGATTACAAGTCACTTCGATTTCTTAAGCTAAAACGTTGCCTGTTTGTAGCAGTAGCATTTCACTCAAATTGCACAATAAATGTAAGAGATACGTCGTCATGGATAACTGAATTTTTTCTCTTTTTCATCGTAATGCTCATTGTTATTACTAGACTTTTATGATGAAAAATCGTGCCATTTATATGGCATAGGTTATACTGCGTGATGTTGATGCAAGGTTTTTATGAGTTACACATGAAAAAAATATGGCTTCGTAAGCATGCAATTGTGAAACCAGCAAGTTCCTATAATGGACTGTACTTTTTCAAAATGGTTCATCTCTCACGTTGATCGAACCTAACATTACTTGTTAAATTATTTTCAAAAAATATATTTACTTTTTTTTGGTTTATTTTTTTATTTCAACTTGTGATGACACAATGTTCGGTGTTAAATTTTTCATTCACGGTTACAACAGTTTTAGAAGTTTTTGATCGTGTTTATAGCCATTTTCAACTATTTTTATCATATTTATAACCGCTTTAAATTATTTCGAAATTTCGAAATTGTTGGAAAAATATAACCTGTTTTTTACCGCTGTTAATATAATTTATCAACATCAAAAATGATAATCTAGCAACGTGAAAAAGAAAATATGAATACTACATCTAGTTAGGAAAACTAGACAAATTTAACTCTTTTGCTATAAATTAATATAAGGTGCTTCCGACGTATTCTTTAATAATATTCTTAAATATCCACTAAATTGAACGGATTGGAATAATTTGTTTGTTTGTAATTAAGCACAAAGCTACACAATGGACTATCTGTGCTCTGCCCACCACGGGTATCGAAACCCGGATTCTAACGTTGTAAATCCGCAGACATACCGCTGTGCCACTGGGGGGCGATTAGAGTAGGTACAGTTCAAAACTACATTTCTCAGTGGGTCATGGTATGGACTTTATTTTCCAATTGTTTCACAGTAAATTTTTTGAAGTTGCATTAAGAATAACAAAAGTTGAGTTATAAATAAAAGTATATCAACAAGCAATTCGAAACCTCGTCCATAAAACCTCTTAAAAAGATGCGATCCACTAATAACTTTTCTCAAGTACACTCTTTCTTTCTCTCAAGTATACGCTTTTCTCTCTAACCCTTCTCACAAGTATACGCTTTTCTCTCTAAACCTTCTCTCAAGTATACGCTTTTCTGTCTAAATCATCTCTCAAGTATACTCTCTTCTCTCTAAGCCTTCTTTCAAGTATAATCTCTTCTGCCTAAACCTCCTCTCAAGTATACTCTCTTCTGTCTAAACCTTCTCTCAAGTATACTCTCTTCTGTCTAAACCTTCTCTCAAGTACACTCTTCTCTGTCTAAACCTTCTCTCAAGTACACTCCTCTCTGTCTAAACCTGCACTCAAGTATACTCTTTTCTGTTTAAACCTTCTCTCAAGTATACTCTCCTCTGTCTAATCCTTCATTCGAGTATACGCTTTTCTGTCTAAGCCATCTCACAAGTACACTCTTCTCTGTCTAAAACCTCTCTCAAGTACACTCTTCCCTGTTTAAACCTTCTCTCAAGTACACTCTTTTCTGTCTAAACCTTCTCTCAAGTACACTCTTTTCTGTCTAAACCTTCTCTCAAGTATATTCTCTTCTGTCTGAACCTTTTATCAACCAAGAAGTATATTGGGTAATGTACACAGTCGTGAGATGTGTTATGGTGGCATCGTGGTCATACTACACGATACCTATAAGTATAAAAGTCATTGTTTAGAAATTACATTAAAGAAGTTTTGAACAAGTCACTACATCGTGTACGTTGTCTTCCTTCGTGATCAAATTGGTCTGCACACAGAGTTTCACAAAATTTGGTGCATCCGTACTTTAACGCATTTGTCTGGACAGAGGAAGTGGCGTCAGAAATATCCAGTCTATCGATTCTGATGACAAGAGTTTGAGCGAAAAACTTCCAATCGAACTTAAATCGAAAAACCAATGTTAAACATTGTCCCCGAATTATATTAATAATTTAAGATATTTATTTTGATACTGTCCGTCACGTCTGAACTTCAGAGAAAACAAAAGGATGGCTCAAGTTAACAAACGTCAGTATCATTATTTGATTGAGTTTTTTGTATAGTGAATCCTTTGTGCACTACAATAGTCCGTATGGACCAGCAAAGGTTGGACATTTTTGTCTCCTAATTTTCAACGTTTGTTTAATAAGATTAAACGTAACGATTTTTAGATTAACGACAAATCCTCAAGTAACCAGAAACGAGTTTTGTAGAAGTTTGGAAATTTCTGGAATAGAACACATAATAAGTAGGCTTAGTAATTCATGTGTTGTTTCTTATTTATCCACGGTATATGACATCCACCTGTATAATTAGAGTTACAGACTTTATAGCAAAAAACGTAAATCACAACCTCACTGGTACTCTAAGATTGGAAAACGTATTAGTTTGAAACCTAACACAGTAATGGAAATAAATAAATATATCTGTTGATTGAGGAACCTTCGGAATAATACAGTGATATAAAATGCGCCATTTTTAGTATGAAAAAAAAATGGTTTTATTGATAAAAAAAAAATGCTTTGCTCCATAGTAATAGGTCATCTTCAGATCATGATTACAGTCAAACGAAACTCGTCCTCTTGCAAAAGTAAGTTTTTCCAAATTTCCATGCACCAGTTGCATAACGTTAACTATTCAATGTTCAACTCATTTTCCAAATTCTTCTTATTCACATAAATCATCAATCTTTTAGAAAAAGAAGAGCATTTTAAATAAAATCCGCTCTTTCTAGTATTTTAATGTCATTGTAAAATATAGAAATACTTCTGTCCAAGATGTTTCCAACTGTTGCGCATAATGAACAACAAAGGTCCCAAAACACTCCTGAGAGACACCAGTAATCGTGCTCTACCTATCATAAAATAAGTATTTATTAACTCTGTTTTAACTTTTACACTTATTCCATAATATTCAACTTAATAACTTCACTAGTGAGACATACACCTTATTAAAGTCTTTCTAGATGTCAAAATACAAGCAACCTCCTGACGGTCCCTCATCCAAAAGGAGCATAACTCCAACTAATTGACAACGCAAATAATCTGTTTGTTAGAATATTAATTGTGGTTAGTTAGAACACCAGAAATAATAATACAGGTGTTATGAACGTTGTTATCCCTCTCAAAACAAGTATATTATTAAACTGAAGCAGGAATGCCTATATTCACCCATTATTACATTTCACTCGTAACACCAGCTTTTGGGTTACATCGCTTTATACCTTCAGTGGACTGGGACACATACAGTTTCATTATTACGCTATATTTGTCATGGGTATAACGAAAAGACAAGCGTTTTCAGCCTCGTACGTTATAAAACTTTGTTTCCACCTCTATTTTGTTGGTAGGCTAAACATTCGTTCTATATTTTTTAATCAAAAATTCATCTATAATGAAGTCACTATCCTCAAATTAATCTGAGTTTTCAAGTCTTTCTGTTTCTTCAGCGTTTTCATGTACGCTGTCTTCACTGCTGTTTTTTTTTTTCCTAATAGATCTTTGATTAACTTTCTAGGAAGCATTTTTAACTTATGCATGTTTTTTTTCTTTCAAAACGTACCGCTATCTATATTTTTTATTGTTGTTCCTCCGTTTCTTAATTTTTCTTTTTAAAAACCCAGATTTCTTTTGAAGTGAAGGTAG